AGTATGTGCGCAAGCATTTACGTCGGCGTCGGTGCGATGCAATTATCCGATGTTTATTTTAGACAAAACGTCATCTCTACTCGAGGGCCGGCTTTGCTCATCCTCTCCCCTGACGGGTCCCGGTATTTCGTTACTATCGACTTCATGGGGAACTGACCCCCGTCAATTTCACATTCAACGTGCTGTAGAAAAAAAAACACTTGAGACAGGACGACACGTTGGCAGCTTTGATGAGGCCAATTTGCATAATTTTTACTGTTCACCCGTAAGGTGGGGGTTAGGCAGGATCAGGCTTTGGTGAGGTTGGACCGCTGGAAAAGCGAAGATTTTCCGCCTGTTCGCCGCGCAGAGCTTTGAGAACAACTGTTATAGGCGTCGATGAAGCAATAAAATATAAGGCAAACTTGGGGAAGCTTTAGCAGGCTTGCAAGTAAAACATTACCAGATGCAAGCGATATGCTCCAAGCGAAGCGAAAGGCCTTCAAAAAGGCACGGGGAGGCAACCCCCTCCCCCTCCACCATCCCAGTCTGTGCTCCGACATTAGCTACAGGCCATATGCGCCGCAGCCTGAGATGACGTGTAGTTCCCGTGCGTGTGCCCTGGTACGTGCTCGCGTGATACCTGCGTGACACTGGGTCTCATCCCTGATGTCCCGGTCGATCACTGCCATCTCGAGTGATGTGCTTGAAGGAAAAGAGATGTAAGTTACAGGCGAGCCGGTGTCGTACTTGATCAGAACCGTTCCGTATATCATCTATGTGAACTATGTGACCTGTCATTACGTAGGTCATCTTGCTATGAGGGGTTTTATGACTACATCAATTTGCTGTAAAGCCGACAATACAGGTTTATTGATAAGCCCAAGAGAACTCTACCGCGCACATCGCAGTCGCAGATGGGAACGAACTTTCCTTGCTGCTGATGACCACATTTTCTGTGACCATGCTCGAGTTTGCTTGAAGAGCATATTCGAGGGATAGCGCAACAGGCTTAAGTATGAGACGTATGCGACATTGCTGATGACACATCACGTGCGCGATTGTTTACGAAGGGAATTGCGAGTATAGCATCGATCATTGTAGGAAGACAATGCGACGATTATTTAGAAACGTTCGGTGCGGAAGCCGAGGAGGTCTTTAGATTAAGGATCGCAAACTTGATGAAAAGTAAGAAATCAAACTTCAAAAAGCTAGTTAATTGCAGCTGCACTGAGAAACTTAGGTAAAAAGAAGAAATGTGGAACTGCCACAAGAAGGCGAGTCCCTGATCTGCCAACAAACTTGAAAAATCGGAACTAGGGCCATTTTAACTTGAACAAGTTTTGAGTGATTTTTATGGCGATTAGCCGTTTGGGATAAAAACCAGACTGAAAGGCTGCACTGAAACTGTTAAAGGAGTTAGAAGCGAGGGCCAAGGGTGCAAGCGCATGCCGTCGTGGGATAATTTCTCTTTGGCCAATGCCATGAAGCTTTTCTATGGTGCAAACGAAAAAGAGCATGTTTTGCATGACAGCCAATGCAGAACAGCACAATAAAAACGCCAAAACCAGACCTAGCGAGGTCCTAAGACAATTATGTCACATGTGAGAAGCCAAGCCTACTTGTACGTTGAAAAGCCAGTGCCACCTGTCATGCCGAAGACAGAACGCCTGCGGCCCTTGTTGTAAGAGGAGTCCAGGACAAGTGTCGAAAGCTTAGTGTTAACCTATAAAGATAACCCTGTGTGTATCAAGATCCTTCAGAACGGGTCTGGTTGCAGCTAGCAAATTAGATATCAGCACTTTTAAGGATTCATAACTGGTAGCAAACAGCTACTGAAGCATAAAAGCTTTACTATAAACTTTTGAATAAACAAAACACCAAACTAGAACCTGCATATATTACTGGTATAATGCATATGTTTCCCGCTTCCGTCACCTTAGCTAAGCTCCCTGAGGATGAGCGACTAGGGCTGGTGGACTAGGGCAGTGAGAGAAGAAGTAATCTGACGTGGGCGATGGCGTTGCTGGGCGATTAGATCGACGATGGTGATCTCATGGGAGCCTGCCGCGGTCCGGGACCAGCACCCTCAGACACCGCTGGTGATAAACATCCGAGTGGTGCACTGGTGTCCCGTGACTGGCGATTCCAGACCAAGAACATCCTCCAGCTCCCCCTGCGGCGATCCTGAGGTCGACCTCATGGTCGAGCCGCGCTCTCCCCGCTGTATCCGGATGTGTTCGTCTATTCGCACCGGATGTATCCCTCTTATGTAAGGCGCCCTTGTGGTTTTTCCTTATTTCGGAACCAGCAGTCAAGTGCAACCAGCCACATGTGAATTCTCCGAAAATGTCACCCTGTGCAGATTGGAACTGGTGGATGGCTTGCCGGCTGCTCGCCCGTTCACCTTGTGCGGCAGACACCGCGTCTGCACGCGAGAGGTCACGTATCGACGTCGGACGGACGCCGCTACCGCTCTGGGCTGGACACGGGGAAGTTCGAGGCATCTCCCTTCGAGGTGGAAGGAGAAATGAAAGTCATTCGATGCAACAAACCTCGTGATAGAGGTACAGAGCTTGACATGTTCATCACGCTGGTAGTACTGTCTAGGTAAGGATAACCCAACCGACCTGCTTACACGAGTAATTTCGACTGATTGCTGAGCCCAGATATGTGGCTTCCCCGGACAACATTAGGTGTCTGTTGCAGTCCAAAGGTAACCCCACGTTGCCGGAAAGAGCGTTTTTTGGTGGTCTTTTACTGCATATGACAAAGTCTACCTGCCTTCGGTGGAAAGCAATATTTCGCCGAAGGACTATTCGATGCAGTGTTGCGGATAATTTATAAATGTCCTCCGTGTTCGTGTGTGGGAAACTGCGCAATACACAAAATCCTCGTTTCGCGTAAAGGCAATAGGAAATGTTAGAAGAGGACATTAATACACCATGAGGTTAGCTACTGGGGTGTGTGCGAGTGTACGCGTCTCCTAACAAAGAGCAGGCTCTAAAGCCAGGTACAGCTGTATCCACAGGCTCACCGGCGCACAGGTTAACAGTCTAATGTCCCATGTTGACTGTCCAATGTCAGATGTCCCAATGGATCTTCTGATCCATTGGAACATCTGAAATTTCAAAGTGTACCGCGCTGGTTTTGACGTTTCAGGAGCCAAGCTTGCGGCCAGAGCGTAAGACATGTTTTGGAAAGTACTTCGGGTGGAAAAGAAAAAGAAGAGTAGCATTGGTTTTGACCGCATACTCAGTTGTGAGAAACGTCTCACAGAGCACATTTCTTGTTTTTCAGCCAAGTAAACGACTGATTGACAAGTCGCGTACAACAAGACGACTCGTGAACCCTCGCAGCGTTGTAGGATGACGGCTGCTAGAATTGCAGATGACGGGGTGGTAGGACTTTTATCCTAAGTCATGGCTTCTCAATCTGTTCTGTTTTCTTTCGCTGAGGATGGATTGAAATACTTAACTCAGTCTGGTGTGCAATTTTGCTGAATAGCAATGACTTGGAACGCCATTGACAGACCTAGGTTTTATGAGAACAAGCGAAAGCATAAATCATTGCGTAACATTATCTAAGTGACAAGAGGGCTCCGAAGGTTGATAATGCCAAGCATTGTACAATCTAAGTCGTACCTGATAAAGTATATTGCTTGGACCATACAGACTGGTGTTTCGCAGGCAAAAACGACAGTGCCGGAAATATTTTAGAACGCAAATGTCGGCCGATCCTAATATTCAAAACACGTGGTCGCTTTGGCAGTGGCCGATATCAAAACACTAAGCAAATGATTAGTTTGATTACCAATCAGGATATCTTTTAATCATATTTTGCGACGGTGCACTAAGGCCAGCCACTACAGAAGGATATATATCACCTCCTTTCTTGCTTTTATGAATCGTCCTCTGCTATGTTTTACTATACATATGCAAGACAATGTTGAAATTATATTCAAATAATGCTACCGAGTCAACAGGAAAACGACAGAGCTCGAAGTCAAAATATCTCTCACTCACATCGTCCAATACTGCAGCTGTTTATACTTGAATGTACTTTAATTTTACCATTAAGGACATACATGTTGCCAACGGTAGACCAAAACAAAATATGCTTATTGACTTGGCGGCTCAGCGTAACTAGTTGCCTGGTGTAACTCCACCCAACGCGATTGCCTTTCGACGCCGGCGTACATGCAATATAGCCGTAAACTTAAACGGTATGCGGTAATTGCAGGCATTTCATTATTGGAAGCCTTCGAAACCCTCTATTACAAACACTGCACTGCTTTCGTAAGCCTCTCAGCATAGCTCATGTGGACAGATAAGCATCCATACTTCTTTGCATATTACTCTCGTATCCGTCCATGCTAGTTTGCATGCATGACATATTATCTAAATAAGATTAGCCTTGATGTAATGAACGATGTTATGCTAGGCTTCAACGGGACTGGCCAGGCATAGTCCAGAACACGCCGTCGCCACGTTTCCAGTGCACGACCTGCGATTCTCCTTGACTTGCCCCGTGACGTCCTTCCTGTGGTTGCCTGTATGTAGCGCATAGCGGTAACATTTTGACAGATATGTGCAATCGATATTTGGTAGTCAGCGAGTTTTAGAATGCCAGCCTCAAAGACTTGATTGCAACGGTGAAAAACGTCAGGGAAGAAAAAGACCCATGCCAGGAAATGCTGCGGGGAGCGGGAAATGACCCGAATGACCCGAGGTTTAAGGAGAAAAGTCCAATTGGTGGGATTCTAATGGTGTCTCTTCTCAGCGCAGATTAGTGACAGGGGCACAGCCGTGTCACCACATACTTCAAATAATCAGCGGAGGATGTTCACCCGCAGTAAGAATACTATAATTGTATAGTTTTTCTCCACGCAACATGTACTGTTCAAGTCTTTCTGATTTGAGGCATTCGGCTAGTTTCCAGCGCTGTGAAACACCCCGAAACAGGCATAGTAACCGATAAGCGGATTATGTCAAAGATAATAGAAAAACAGAAACAGACGACACATTTGAAGTGCATTTATTTGTGGCAATCTGCCCTGGATCAAGCTGACACAGTTCCAATATTATATGTTGGTTTGTACCGCGCACCGATTATGTTCCACTAGCACTCCACCGGCATATCTTTCCAACAAAAAACAAATGTCGTAAGAAAGCGCCATGTAGGGATGCAGCAACTCCCAGCCTACCACAAAATATGTGTTTGTTGTGCGACCACCAATGTTACAAGGGGTCAAGTTAATAGTGCATGATGCCTGCAATGACGGGACAAATATAAACTGAATGTTTGCTTAACAGATGAAGGCTCCGAACAGCGATTCACAGACATGCGACGTGTTTTGCAGTCAGCCTATCCTGAATGCAGCGAAGAGAAACAGTTGCACCAAAAGTGGTTTGTGAAGGAGGCATCGCTCAAAGATACAATTATAAAGCTTCTCAATAATGAGCATTATTCTCAAAGTGCAAATGAAATGCAAAAAAGGAAAAACATCGATGCTCGGCAAACTGGATGACTGAAACCACTTGATAGTCCTGCGGATCTTAAAGTTACGTGGTGAAAGGAAAGACACAACATGTTCTTGCACACTGGTCAGACTTATGTCCAGCACATCTCTGGAATGCAGACACCGTCTGCACCCTCAAGCTGGATACACACATACAGAAACTTCGATCTTGGACCACGTAAACACAACGGAGCATTCATCCGTGAGATCACTTACGACTAACAAGAAACCATTCGACCTATTACAGCCGATCTGACGACTCATTGTCGCAGCTTGAGTGATCCCCACCCAATTCCCCACGTGCTCCAAGACTTTCCTTCAGTCTCGCGCGCTTGAAGAGTGTCTCACCCCATCGACCGCGTCAGGAGGTGAGCAGTTCCCCTCCACTCCTCGGTGGAGCACCCGACAGTCTCGCGGCGGCCTATCTGAGTCCCCTCGCGCCGAGCAGGCGCACCGCACCGTGGCCTCCTCCAAACGAGCAGCTCTTCAAGCCAACGCCTATAGCCGCCGCGCCAGTGGTCCACTCCCGCTTCCAGTAGGAGAGCCCAGGTCTCGCGCCAAGGGTAGCGGTTCGTCCCGCTGCCCCTGCACCAGCTTCCTGCACTAACTCACCACGTAAGCAGAGAGCACCACTGCCCCGGCGGCGGCCACAGCCAGCGCTGGTGCAGCAGCGTCGGCCGCCGCCGTCCCGGCTCTAGGCTCGCATCAGCCCGCGCACAGCCTGAGCTGCCGTCCCTCCAGCGCGGCATGACAGAGCAGAACCTGGCGCAGAAGGTGGTCCGGCCGCCGGACCTCTCGCAAACGGCGGGACGCCCACAGACGGCGGCCTGGGCGCCGAGGCCGGCTCGGACGGTATGGAGGGCGCTGGACCGTCGCTGCGGCCTGCGCTGGGCGTTAAGCCGTCGTTGCAGTCTGCGCTGGGCGCCGCTACATCGCCGGCGGGTCGTCTCTACGCGGTGCAGCAAGCTGTGTAGAGGTTGGTGGCGATGGAGAGCAGCAGCAAGGCCGGAGCCGCGGCCTGGCCCACGCCGCCCGTCTGCATAGCGGCCGGGTGCTCGCCTGCATGACAGCGGTGTACTTGTTACCAAATGGGAGCAGGCGGTAGAGCATAATGGTCACATACCAACACGAATATCGGTGGGCTGCATACCACGAGGAAGCCCGACGTCCATGTGCAATAACGGGACTCAGAGATAATACATCTCACCCAAATTTTTCATTGTTCTCATATCAAATAATGGTTTTAAGCCTTCCAGTTCGTGATGTTTTACACACGTTGCGTGAAACAAATATACAAATGCAGGAGTCGTGTTCCGGAGTCTGTACGGATTTCGGTACTATTATAAGCGACTTGTCTCACGCTGTTCAGAGTTTTAGCCGTTTCACTACTCGAAACATTATGGAACACTTCATTTGGCATGCATTTGGAATATCCTGGACAACCCGCCGTGTGTATGCAAACCTCACCTACTATCCTTTATCAGTACAGGCATACGAACATCTCAGGAAGTGTGCGCGTAGGGAAGGGCGAGAAGGAAACGCTAATTTACAAATAGATCTTTCTATGCATTGGCATCAGCTTATGTTGAACATTCTCAAAGCTTGGGGCATGGGGCCGCTGTCACATGCCACCCTCCCTCTGTTCATTCTCTCATGTTAAGCGCGTAGCACCAGCCAGCTGGTGTTAAGCCAGCACAAGCTGGCTTGAGTTAAAAAACGATGTGCTGCTATAAATACCTGTTCAGAGTTCCATACAACCCTATGATCCTTTATGTCTTGTAGCGTTTCCTAATGTTTCAAAAGATCAGTTTAAGATTTCATTCGAACGTTTTAACGGGATGGATTTCTGGTAATGGAGCCGACACTAAGCAGTATTCGTTGCGAGACCTCTGACCCACATCTACCGATAGTAAAATTCCCGGCCAACGGCAGAATTTCGCGGCGAAAGTTTGACGCATCGTAATTATCGCCACGGCCCGTCCGACAGTCTGACGTCACCTGACCTTTAGCACCGCTCTGCCATCAGCCGCGTGCCACCCAACCCAGAGGCGAACACCTAAAACAACTCGACCCCACCTCGCTCCGGGTATGTGGATCCGATGGTCATCCTAACCACCTGAGCTACGGCGGACAACCGGGCGTGCCTGGCCGTACCACCTCCGGTCAGTGATGTTAGTCACGTGTTGACATGCTTTTTCATCACACGTCACTGCAGTAAAATGCAGCAACTACATAGAGCACATCGTAGGTATTGCATGATGAAACACGAGTATTTGCATCAGAACAGTGTTAATGTAACTAATTTTTCTTTCAAGGCTAGCCCAAACGTTTCGAAGGAGTGGGTTTATGGGGTTCAGAGTTCCCGCTAAGCACCAGTTGTTGCGCAAGCTTTACCCCGCCATCCGAACGTAAAATTTCAAGTGCATGGCACAATTTCGCGGTGAAGGCACAATGCACCGCCAGGATTGTCACGGTCCGTCCAGTCCTCTGGCGTCACCTGGACGTTTACGTAGCTGCTGCCACCGGCCGCAGACCATCGCGGTCCGGGGTAAATAGCGAACGTGAACAGAGACTTTAACCCAATCCAACGAGGGTGAGCGAGTCCGAATAGAAAACACCGATGCTCTTACCCACAGAGCTATCAGACCGCACATGATTGGCAAGGAAGGACATTTTTATTCAACACTTTACATTTAGAAACACGTTTCTGTATTAGTTGACGCCACTTGTGCTAAACTCATCAGCTTAACCTGGTCCCAAAAATACGCTGTTGTACACGGGTTAATCCCTTGAAAGTCATCCAATAAACTGCCCCAGCGACCTCACGCACGCCACGGGCAGCGGGCCGTCTACGCGATCCCCAGGCGGCCGTAGTTGGGCTTTGAGCCCGCCGATGAGTTTAGCACGACTTTCCAATCACAGTTGTTTTGCCGGTGAGCGATCCCAGCAACAAGTGCCAGTCATCATCTGGCGCCGGCTCTGGCCGACTTTTCGACGGCCGCCGGGCGGACAATCCGCCGCGGAAATTCGCCGCCGAGGGAAGCGTCGGGAAAGATATCGCTTTGTGAAATGGCCGGCGGCGCGGCGTTAGCTCGAACGCGATGTGAGCCATTAGCGACAGTGCCGATGGCTGGCGAGAGTGGAGTGGGAATCCAATCAGCTGGGCACGGCCATGATGTAAGCTCCGGTGCCAAGTGGAGATCATCGGCTGCTGGGTCACCGGCCAATGGGGAGCGATGTGGGGCGGCGAGAGGTCTGCAGAGCAGAACGATCCGCTGACGGGCGGGGCAATAATCACTTTTACATAGTGTATTCAGCAGCGGCCGGATCACCTATAGAGGTGGGCAATATTCCAAAACGTTTCAAACGATGAAAAAATGGTACTTGGCATAAATGTATATATATATATGCACTTGTTCTATATTACCCTTAGCAATCTGCGAGCTTTGAGACATGCACGAACCTCGCCGTGCGAGCGGAGACGTGTGTGGTAAGCTGTTGTTCCATTGTTAGTTTGCGGGGGACCAATCGTCCGCTCTGACAGCGCTGCTGATCAAAGATGTCTGGAAATGATGTCAGCGAGCGGACACGGCGTGCTGCAAAAAGCGTGCCCACGTTCAGGGCGGGCGCGGCACGCAGCATTGACCGCCGCGCCCACTCGGCTCGTCGGCCGTGCTGTCAATCTGGCGATTTTGAAAACGCTTAGTTTCAGTGGGCCTAACGATGTTATACTTCGACGATGTATTCTTAGCAGTGGTAATTCCATTCTGTTACGGAAGCCAGCATGTGGTGCAATTTTCAGAACAAAACTTAAAAACAGAACGGTATCCGTTATATAGTTCCCTGTTATTTCAGTTGAAGTTGTGTTCATGGTTCTCCGTCCCGCTCCCAAGAACACAGGTCTCCAAACCTGGCGGGTTCAAGCTCAGCATGTGTGGCTAGTTAGTCTATCGGCCGTTGCGGGGCTGACGTGAGCACGCCGTGGAGTAGCGAGCAGCTCATGCGTCCCACCCAGCAGGTCTGACTAGCATAAAGTTCAGGTACGAGCCAGGTCACCGTGTTGGCGGATGACTCCCATATGGAATGGAATAAACCAGGCTTCAGTTGGACCAATAAGACATATTTACCGACGACATATCGCGCACTTCGAATATGCGTTTTGCTCCCAAATGAACATGTTGAAAAACGTCTTCATTTAACTATTTCTGCTTTTGTACTACCCATATTGGCAGAGACTGATTTGCATCAGGTCTAATCTAGACATCACCACTAGGGCCGTGTGTCGTGTCAGTACCACTCGGAAATGCTGCAGTCTAGTAGAGGCCAAATTAGAACCTAATTACAGGCCAAGCCAGGGTGCGCAGGCAGTACCAGCTCGCCGAAAATCGAACACTTGAAGAGGGAAAGCGTTTCCCTCGCCAATGTCTTCAAAATAACGACTACTCTGTCAGTTGGTTCACTTAGATTCGTGCCTGCGCTACTCCTCCCCCCAGACTTCGGGCTAGGGGAACTGCCAGGGAAATACCGTTGAGTTTCAGTGTCCCTGTCAGCACGTTACTGCCCCAAATCCCTTGAGCTCCCTGAAACGTTGCTGGTCAAATTCAGACAAGCACCGAATCGGAAGCGCCAATAGCGTCGCGTGCAACCCGCCTTCAATTACATGATCTGAAGCATGCCGTGCACAGGGGGTCCAGTCCGAACGTTCGCAGCCCCCCCCCCCCCCCCCCCCCCCGCCAAGCCTGCCTAAGGAGACTATTCCAATTCAGAAACCCGCCGTATCGGTGGCAGCGGCTGCCCGAGGCTACGACGAATTTTGCACGGAACGGCTTCAACGCCCGAGCCGGATGCGCCACTGCATAATGCCCCTCTCCGACAGAGCACTCTCCCCTTGGTGGTGGCACCGGCGTCGCCTCCGTCAGATGCTGTCTCGCGCGTCTGAGCTCGGCTAACATTTCAACCGGCTAGTCCGGCGCGAATAAATACGCAGAGAGCTCCTTTCAGCTCCGCGGAGCTCTACCGCAGTGCGTTTTGCCGAGCTGTGAGAAATATGCCGTCTTAGGACCTCGCACGCTCCGCTTCGTCGCCTCCGACTGCGCAGTGTTTTCTTACGCCGTGCTTTCCTGGGTTCTCCTTGTCACCCCTCGTATGTATCAATTGTTGCCCTCACTACACCTTTGCGGAATCTGTTTCTTTTGAACAACTCTACATCTTTTCTGTGCTACATCCGGGCTTGTCGCTCCCTTTTCATGTTTTTTTTTAGAACTATTCGTTCTACATGTCCGGGCCCAGAAGTCAACCCTTAATGAGACTCCAACCCACAGTCACTGGTTACAAGACCTAACATTATCCCTTCGACGAACGAAAACGAAGGACTCTCCGCTAGAGTACAGCTCCGAGTCCCTTAGGCGCTCCCCAGTCACTGCGCCCCGGTCCGGGCGGGTGGCTAAGTGACCAAGCCGCCTCAAACCACCCATTCATGCAGCCCTTCCAACTCCTCCTTCCCGCAGTTGTTCTCATTGTTCGTCCACTCCATCCGGCTGGGCCGTGCTCCGCCGCTCCCTTTATCCGTCATACATCGTTCTCCCGCTCCTAGCCCCGCCCGGCTCATCGAAGGCCACGCATGCACGCCGATGGTCCTGGCCGGCGCCCGCGGGCTCGTCTGGAAGTTGCCGCTCATCCGCATCTCGGAGCGTTAGGGAGCGTTCGCACGAGCCGCTCCTGTCCGCCGCCGCGCCCCCTGCACCGCAACAACCGCTGACTTAAGTCACCCTGCAGGAAATGCTTCGGTTTTGGCGAGATTTCTGCCGTGACAGACGTTCTCGTCCGATTTTTTTTCCTGTGGCGGGTAATGACACGATGGCGCCATCGGTTATACATGGGCTATTTCTTTCTCAAAAGCCAGATCCGTCGGGCGGAAGTTATCTTTCCCATCAAAGTTAATGAACCCCGGATCTAAACGGCTGGACGACATATTCTTACCAGCCTTGAGCGCCACCTGGCCTGTGGGGTGGTAGGATTTAAATAGTGCAAAGCTTTGGCATCATGCACGCCTGCACGGG